TACTTTTTAACCCAGTTACCAAATGTGGGTTTATAATTTAATTGAATCTGCCCGTAGGGTGGTGAATTCCACATACACTAAAGATCTACTTTTTTTTATTTAAATATGTTTTATTTGTGTGCTGGAATCTATCAGTGCCTTCTGATCTCTACCAAGCGAATAATTATTAAAGTAGTATAGTTACTATTTTGTAACTTATATGGTATTTACAAGGACCTTATTAACAATGATGCGAATGTTCAAATAAAACGCCATGTAGGTATGTCGTCGGGGTGTAGCCTTCGGAGGCGCCTCCCTCTTATGGGGCCAGCAAGGACGCTGGCGGCCGCATTCAGGTGTTGCAGCAGCTTGTCGGCGTATCGGCTGCTGAAAAAGTTGAGTTGGTCTCCGATCTTTGTTAGGCGGGGATCTCGTTCTATGGCATCGGTTGTCACGTACCATGGCAGGCTAGCCACCTTGCGTGCTGCTTTGGCTTGGACAACTCTTATGCGGTGCAGCTGGTGTGCTGACGCCGTTCCCGAAACTTGTCCAGATATGCGTTATCATCGTTTTCAGAAGCAATGCCTTCGTGGAAACATGAAGCTTGCTTTAAGGCTTTAGAAGCTAGTCGAGCTTTTGAAGCCTTCTCAAGCATATTAATCTCATTGCTGCGATGTGATATTCCCATATAAGTCTTCGGTCCAAGTGGACGCAAAATGGAAGTAAAATGAGCTGGTGTGCTGGGCAACTGGTGGTCGTGCGAAGCTGGGAAGGCGGTATCATCCGCGTACGTTGTCACCAGAAGTCTCGCGGGGCTGAAGGCTGTATTGTTTTAACAATGTATGGGCTAAATATCTATAAGCTGGAATTAACAGAGATTGGTGAACACGCTTTCAGAGAAACACATAGTTAAAGTAATGCTAAACTAAATTTCCAAAATTATGTAAAGCTTTGAAAGTAAGTTAAGGCCCGATCGCACAAATCCTGAAAGTGGGCCTCTACAACCTTTGACAATTTTCCACCCGAAGGAGTGGATTTTTCTCAATTGAATTATCGAGAAGATCGTGTCAAATGAGCATATTTCCAAAACCTTGGCCAATTTACCACAATTGCAGGTGGAATTCGGAAAATTGTTGAAATTGTTCTGGCAAAACTCCGCACAACAAAATGTTAATCCATCTATATCAATATCCACTCGGCTGTTATTACTGACTAAGAATTTACATCTATATACCTTCTGAGGTCGAAGATGACTGCTTCACAACTGCTACACTTTCAGGTTTTTTTACCGTTTTAAAGTTCATGATTGGTTGTTCGGGTTGGGCTGCAAGCGCAAAATCAAAAACCAAACAGGTAAAAGGTTCTAGTCGGGAGCTCCCGACTAGGGGATACCCTGGACCCCTTTTCTTCCAACATCAAATGCATATATATTCTATTTTAGAAGCGATGTATCAAGTTTAGTTACTCTAGCTGTTATTATTTACCAAAATTGCCAAAAAAAAAAAAAAAAAATATACCCCTCTACCCAATATACCCCTATACCCATTTTTAATGGGTTCAGGGTATAAAAAAAAAGCTCAATTACCATAGTAAGCAACAAGAAACCAGCTGCAAAACAACAACAGTGCGGACGAAACCCCATTTTGTTTTCGTTGTCTGTTCTGATCACTAAAAAGATTTCAACGACATGAGAAACTCAGTGTAAAGAAAAGAGACAATTACTGCCACTGTGTTTGTTGCTGGTTTCTCTGTCGTTCCTACAAAGCAGCTCATAAAACCAGCAACAACAATACGATTTGGGCATTAATGTTGTTGTTGCAGAGCCGAGTCTCGGTGCAAGTAGGTAGAAAATTCGAATGCCTATAGGCACTAACACTAACCAAACAACATATGTTGGTACGGTTTACGCACACGGTTGGGGAACACCCCAAATTATGACGTCACATTTTATAGAATATTATTTCTTGTGATATTCTATTTATTTAGTATATATTTGTACCTTTTTACGTACACTTAATTAATTTATTAATAGGGTCTTTTATAATAATTAATTTATTTAAAAATGCACTAATTTACTGTATTGCGATCGTTTTGCACACAAAAAGCCTTGGGCTGTACTTTTCGACCGATCGTTCATATGGCAGCTATATGATATAGTGGTCCGATCCGACAATAAAATATCTTACTTTTATTATTAAATCTTATACACATATATATTTTTATTTTCATATATGTATATATATTTCGTTGTGGAACATTTTATAAGATTTTTAAAATTGCATAAATTTAAATGCAAATATTGGAAAAGACATGTGAAATTTTAATTAATTTTAATTAAATTCATTTGTTTGTAAAGATTTGTAACAATTATATTTAAAATGCACAATTGTTAATAAAGTGTGACTTGTATTTGATCAGCACAAATGCAATACATATTTAAATATGTTTAGATTAGTTAAGCTTCGTTCCGATCTTTTACTGTACAAATAAAATAACTAAAGAAAAAAATACAAATTGGATTCTGCGAACGTGCGTTTACATCCACCGGCTAATTAATTACTAATTTTAATTTTGCTTATTTAAAACCTATATCACATTTTATTTTTTATTTTTATTTATTTTTAGAAGTTTTTGGTTTTATAACCGTGACGGGCTTTGGTTGAGCCTGGAATACTTAATACTTAAATAGGGAAGTGTAGGGGGCTCGACTTTTACTATGCCGGCTGATGTTTTAAAAGGACATGACCGTTACATAGCCTGCACTCGTTTTTAAAAGTTTGGGACTATGGCGATTCTCTTTGTTGGAGCCTTTGACTAGGCACACTTGCACAACTGTGGGCTTTATTTTCTTCAACTTTTCTTGCCTGGTCTCCGGCTGCAGAGACAGTATCCGGGCCAGCGTTTGGGGCTACAAAAAGCAACGGAGACTATAAACGACATTACTTTTGTTGCATCCTGTCAGCCAAAGGTGCACCGGCAAACAATTTTTTGCATGTGTTTGTGAGTTTCCGATGATTTGCAACACTGGTTACAACGTTGCACTGGAGTGAGCGTGATCGAAGAGTTTGGCGCCAATAAAATTTTCAGAGAAATGATTTAAATATACATTTACCAGGTTTTTTGGTTTAATGGATACTTGAATATCAAGAGTACATTTATAAATATAAGCAAAAAGGGTAAAGAAAACTGCCAAAACTGCGGACCAGCTTTAAGAATTCTTTCTTTCTTTCTTTTCTTTGAGTTTCAAGTTTTCTGTTTAGTAATAATTATTATTAGTTATATTATACTAGAAACAAACAGACGGACAGAGAAATGAACATGACTGTATAAACTAGGCTGTTGCTACTGATCTGGAATATTTACTGCTTTACACGTTTTATGCTAAAATTAGAAAAGCCTTTTTAAGTGTTTTATTTTTGTTTTGTTTATTTATTAATAGTCGAAAATACAGTAGATAATGGAAATTAACTGCTAAAAGCCTAGTTAAGAAACACAATTTTCTAATAAAGAAAAAAAAAAAAACAATTATGCACCCCTTTACACACTAAAGGACAATCTTTGGCTTACTAGATAACCATCAATATTTAAACGTTAAGTTACTAAGAGATTAGAAGCCAGAAGCGCAGAACTTTATGCATATCAGAATAAAGGTGGCTTAGAAAGGTCGCACTCACTAGCATTTTCCCATTCATTGTTTACGAAGAAGTTTTCAGATTATCACGTTTTTTATGGGCGTTAGGAACTCCTGCGGCTGAAGCAAGGATTAAGGACGTTATTCGCGGTGCGTCTAATATAGCTGTAGCTTGATAATATTGTCCTCCTTGGGGCCAATTGCCCTAGTAAACCCGACTCTCGCCCGAGCTCTTCTCTGTCTCCAGCTTGTACGACAACAGACAGATTGTGTTTTTTCTTTGATCCAATGCACCTGCTATTTGACACCTGCTTTCAAGTTATTGGGCGCGCAGGTCCTTCTCGGATAACAGCATGTTGTGTCAACTAATTGTAAAGAGGAAAACAGAATAACATTTCTTTATACTTATTATCAATTATATATTATTTAACATAATTTGCAAATACCAGAAGAAGCTGACAGCATACCGTTGAATATCAAAACGTTTGCTTAACCCAATCATAAGTCGTCTATAAAAGGTTTCTATTTATAATATAGCATAAAGGCAATTATGTAATGTCATCGCAGTATAATGCAACTACAAGTTTATCCCTTCAAATGTAGGAGACTAACTCCTGTGAACCATTCCCTTATCCAGATCCGAATTAAGCATCGAACTCTCCTAATAGTGTAGATCTGGCAAGATTGTGTTTTTAATTATATTTTAATTTCATTAATTTAACAATGAACTAGAATCGTTTGGCATCATTGGACACTTTCCCCTAGCGCTGGTTGCTGTCATTTTAATTATATTTTAATTTAATTAATTTAACAATAAACTAGAATCGTTTGACATCATTGGCTACTAAAAAAGTGTAACCCTCGAGTTTTTAGAAAAAAAGTACTTAAAGGTTACTAGTTACTAATGTCATCAAAACAAACAACGCAGTTCATCGGCTACTATTAACAAAAGTTTCATTTGGGCGTTTTTTTTCTCGAACGATCGATAGTCGATATCATTAATGTACTCCTTAGAAAGCTGAGTAATGTAAAAGTGTGTGTTTAAAAAACATCAATGGGATTGGGAAAAATTGAAATGCTAAGAATTTTTACGAAAATTTGGAGTTATGTGTTAAATAAAAAGAAATCATACAGGTTTTCTAATACATTAAATGAACAAAACCCTGCTTAAAATTATTATGTTTGTCTCTGCTTTGGTGGACTTTTAATTTAAGTTCTTAGGAATTATTAATTGAATTTGTACTTGATGAAATAAGCATCGCTGTGTTCGTCACTCCTAGTATTTTTTTGTTGTTGTCATAGTTGTCACTGTGACACAAAAATAAAACTATGGCACGTCACCATTACCCACACAGCCTATCGATATATATCGCTACGAATTGACCATTCCTAGGAAGCACATTGCATGTGGAATGAAATTGATAGAAAATTTGTTTTTGGAAATAAACATAAAGAAAGACAAGTATAACTTAGTTTGCTACTGTGCAAGTATACATTAAAAGTGCAAGAACTGTTTTTTTTCTATTGTATATAATCGCTTGATATACGCGTGACGAATGCTCCAGGTAAAACACGTTTGAGAACGAGAGAACGGACGTAAAGTAAATTACATGATGACATTTCTTACCATAATGCAATTAGTTGACGTTGCTCTCTTAATAATATTCAAATATAAAATATTCTACACCTATGCAGAATTTCATTACCTGCCAATCACTGTGCGATTATACCAATATGGCACATATCAAATTTTTTACCATTCATTTTCTTTGTGTAAGAGTTTTGTTCAGTACGTCGCGCTGCTTCCCCTCCCTCGTTTCTCTCAGCCGCTCGCATGTGCGCCAACGTCGCAACGTCGGCAAATATGTAGGTGAAAAAGCATGATAAAAAAAACTTGCTAAAGTGAAGCGGGGCTTAAAAATCCTAACAAGCAAACTGCAATAAATTATAATATCAATTAATTTAAAGACTAGTGATTATTATTGTTTCAATATATATATACGTGTATATATTATATATATATATATATGCACATATATATGTATATATATATGCATGTATGCAGGTTAAAACAGTCGAATCGGGAAAAATGAACTAGACAAATTTATACAATATACATATAATGTATATGTACATATAAACAATTGTCATTGGTTTTTTAATTTTTGGAAGTCCCATTTTATACGAAATGTTAAATTTGCAATATTTGAATATTTTATTTTAATTTTTTGAAAATCGTTTTTTACATATTTTTAAATTTTAAATAATTTTAAAATTGTCTTATTAATTTTTTGATTACAGGTCGAGTTCATGTCCACAAATTACCGGAATTATTTTCCTGAATTTCTTTTTATATAATAGAACTAAATTTTTGAAGGTAAGAATATTTTCCCACACACACACAAACAGAATAACCTTTATAATAATGGAAATAAATTCCACAGCAGCATAATCAAATGGTTGTGTGACAGGTTGCTAACGGGTCAAAAATCGTCCCGGAGATCGTCGAACAAAACGGAATTCGCATCCGTTTGACGATACAATTTCCAAACGGATCGGTCCCTTCGTAATGCAACCAGCTGCTCCAACATTATCAACACAAGCCGATATTGCTAAAACCATGCAGCCTCAAAATATGGTATGTTGTGCTTCCTTACGCCTTCTCAGTATACATAATATGCTCTAAGACACTGAAAACAGCTAAAAGCCCAGCGTATGTGATCTATTACGAATGTCTTCCGATAAAATTTGAGCCAAGAGAAGTGTGGGGTAAAAAGAAGCTGTTCCATTTTGTCTGAATACATAGCTGTTTCTCCATCTAGGCTTAGTCTAACTATTTTTCTTTTCTTTTTAAATCCATTGAAGATGGGTACATAGGATGTAATTGTATTTAAATGTACAGAAAGGCAGATTTTTTCATGCAGCTGAGTCGATCTAGCCGTGTCCGTCGGCCTGTCCGTATGTATGAGCGTTGATCTCTGAGCTTCACAACTAGCTAGAGACGTGGCTCCTTCTATTTTCCGTGCAGATTGAAGTTGATAAATTGCAAATATTTCGAGGGTATATATAGCTATAGACACGAAATTTGTCTCGCTTTTTGGATAATTCCTCGTTCCCCAACATTTAAAAAACTCATTAGATGGTTTAGAGTCTTGCACTTTAGTATTTCCACAAATTTCGAGTTTAGATAATAAGGATTTTACGGATACGCAAGAATTTCTCTAGTGTATGACTCAGAGGAGAACTCTGACTTTGTGTACATTATGTAGAATGGGAAGCTGGAATACAATAACTAAGACAGCTGGGTTCAGGTTGTACTTTGGTGGAGAATTCCCTACTAGAGTCCTCTTTTTTTTTAATGCATTTTTATAATAGCTGGAGGAGGCTTTTAATGTTTAATTTATTAGACCTTAAACAGTCACCATGAGCATTTTTTAAAATTACTTTATTGCGTTATATCAATAACTATTTATCACAAAATACTCACTGGCCGCAAGCTTCAGTTGAGCGAAGTTGTTTCTAAAAATTTGTATTCGGGATTTCGAATATCAAAATAATTGTAAAAATAAAAATTTTTTGTATTTGCAGTTTGATTTTTGTTGAATTTAATTGGTTAGTTATGAATATGTAATTGTTAAAAATTTTAATTTTGCCTGCTGACAACGTTTTTATGGGTTTCAAAAGTATTTTCAGTTGTGAAACCTTTTATCTAAGATTTTCACATTGCTTTCAAAATTAATTAACGAGCTATTGCGAGATTCTGACCGCAAAATATTGTCTTGTTTTAATTCGAGCAGCCAACTTCTTAATTTGATTTGTTTCTTTGTCGAAATGAATAGATCGTTATTTTCATTCAAGTTGCTCGGCTCGGTTCGTTTCGTTGGTTTTGGTTTCCATTTTATGTTAAATATACATAAATGTGCATACGAATGGGGCGCAGTTGAAGTCTGTACCCCAACAATATGAAACTTTTGCCATCTGTTGTAGATTTTACCGACCAATAAAAAGACTAAAAAGTACGCTTCGCAAGTGCCGCCCACGAAGCAGCAGCAGCCCCTGCCACAGCACAGCACAACCCAGCCGCAGTTTCAGATTAACAAAGCATACAACGTAGTTTCCATACTGAAAACAACCTCAACGACGAATGGTCAGCAGCAGCAGTCGACACACATGAGCACACACACACACCAGCCGCAGTCGCATCATTTGCAACAGACACAGCAGACACAGCAGCAGCAGCAGCAGCAGCAGCAACAACAGAGTTATGCGAATGTGGTCAACCGAGCTAACATTGCGCCGGCAATCTCAGCTGGTGGAGCCCAGCTTGAGAGGTCGACGGTCATCTGCAGCGGCGGCAACCTTATGACCGTCAACAACTGTCAGTTGAATACTGCAGAGCTGAATGCATCTGCCATCTATAATCTAACTGGCCACAGGCCGCAATTGGCGGCCGCCAATAGTGGAGTCATAGAGCCCAATTGTCGTTTCGTGGGCAGCGTTTCGGCGGTATCGGATATGCCCAAAGGGCCAGCAAATGTTGCAACCACAAATAACAGCATACAACATACAACTGGTGGCGGCGGCGGAGCCAGCGGCAGCAGCAATAACAGCGGCAACGGCAGCAATCAGAGCCTCATCGCGTTGACCAACTCGCATGGCATTCAACTTGGCGCCTCCAATGGACCTTATGCTATGCACGAGAAAAGCCTGTTGGGCGTTGGGGTTAGCGTCGGCGTTAGTTGTATCGATAATAGGAAATACGACTATAAAAATAATAATCTGCTGTCGAACAGCAGCTTCCAACCAGCCCAAGAGGTAGGCCAAACACACCATCTTGCGAGCTCCACAAATATAATTGCCCACCTCTATATATAATTATATCGACAGACGTATTTATCAATTTATGTACGCTATCGACAAAAACCTTGCATAGGGCCGGCCTTTTTTGCAGGTCTGATCGGACAACTTTATTCTCGGTCCAAAAATTAAATCCTTCGATAGAAAGCTTATCAATATATACTCTATTCTCTAGTACGAATCGGATGAATTGGGAAAAGTTTTTTTTTTTCAAAAACTCAGAAATGATAATTGTTCAAAAACGACGCTGTTCAGAATTAGCTTCAAATTCGTTTAAGACAGCAAAAAGCGCATTTAAAAGGATTTAAAATTGTAAAATGATATGAAACGATTCCCGCAAATAACGCCCTTAAGAGAAAAGGCAGAATAGAAATTTTATTTTAGTGTTCCTTCCAATTAAATAGTCTTGCAAACATATTGCAATAATTAATGTAATATTCTGCAATTTCATTTTCAAAGATCTAGATTAAAAATCATTTAAGACGTGTTTTGCACTTTTCACAGAATCCCAGCTTCCTCAGAGGAAAATGCGATTCAAAGATCTTGTAGGCTACATTTTAAGTTTTGTCCTTTATGCATCGAACTTATTTTCCATATAAGAGCTTAATGAATTCGTCTTTCAGTGATTTGAAAAATTCCGCCCACGCATGAAACGTTTTTGTTTAGATCTTTGTGGGAATTTATTGGATACGCTCTTGGGTGGCAAAAGCGGGTCAAAGACCTGTTTAAAAAGTGAAGGTTTGTTCTTCATATTCGAGATTCTCACCTCAAGCCTAACATGGGCGGCATCCGTTGATTTCAACAGTATTCGATGAATTTATTTTAATAATATCGGAGCTCAAAATGGGTCGACTTAAATTTTCTACGGGCGTGTAATTAGTGGAAAGGTAAAACATTCCACAAGCAAGGGTGGGCAATGCCCGCTAGAAGTGTATATGCATGTATTTATTCTTGATCAGGATTAACAGTGCCAAGTTTAGCCATGCCTTGCCCTACCTGTTGTCCGTATAAACGTATCCATCGCAAAGACTTAAAGGGTAGATGTACTATCAAATAACCCAACTTCTTGGCCTTGTAGGTCCCATAGAAAAAATCGTTTTAAAATATTTGTTTTCTTGAAGCTGTCTTATCTGTTCGGTGGAGTTGTGGGCATCCTGAAACAGTATTAAGGAATTGTGGCTAATCTTGTTATTCTAAACAAAACTTAGATTTTTAGTTAATGAATATGGGTTATTTGACTCAAGAATGTGCTAAATGTTCTCGTAGAGTTCTGAGTAAACGGGGCACAAATGCAAAAAGTATTCAATTTATTGTATAAGGAGCGCACTTTATTTCTTGACAATGATATGATGCTAAGTTCTTCGTTTAATTTTATTGATAGTGAGAATATCTACTTATGCAGTTGTTACAACTAAGCTATACAGAGCTGACCACTTATGCTTGAATTAATGTTTAATGTTGTGGCCTTAAGACTTTTAGACTGAAGACTTTCAGCTCCTCCTTAAGTTTGTTGTTATTGATAATTTTGTTTGGTCCAATATTGATTTATCCGGCGGAGCTGTAAATCAGCCAGGACTCGCTTTGCCTTTCGGCTAGTAATGCTAATAAAACCACGCCAAAACTTAGAATTCGTGCAGATGTTTGTTTAATGTACTCTTAATGAAAGGTAACATGTACATCCAGATGACAGACATGACGCTTCGTCCGCCGTCAACCTTGTCTCATCTGCTAATATTTCAAAGTTCCCAAAAACCTGGAGCTTCGAAACGTATTCTCCAGCCAAGTTGAGTCTCCGCAGGGAACATTGCTTGCACTTCTCGAACTCGATGCATTGGTAGTCGCAGGTTGGTCACTTCACATACTTTTTGAAAATTGAAAGGGGTCCTTTCAGCTTACTTTGCACCCGATTCTGAGGTTTAACATTTTGCACTGTAGTCGTATTGAAGTTGACAACTTTTCTTTGAGTTTGACCGTTACTCTATTACAATTAATGTGATATTTCCACTTCAAATAATAAAATCAAAATAAAATTATTTTCAAGCCAATTCTTGAAGCAGAGCAAAGGTGTACCATTAGATAACGTTGCACACAGAAGTGTAAGTGCATAAAATAAGCTGTGATTCACAATTTTGATGTGATTAGTGCTGACTAATCACAATTTTGATGTGATTAGTGCTGAGCACAGGGTACATTATTTTATACTTTAAATATGAGGGATGGTGGATAAAGGAGTATGCATTGCATAAAATAGTCTGCTGGCCAGATATGACTAGCTGGATATAGCTTTCCAATTATATTCTATGAAGAATATAAACTAAGGATAACAAAAATAAGAGAAGTCATTAAAATACCAGAATATCGGGGAATGTTAGATGCTTAAAATTTAAAGAAATCGATCTCCATAAAAATGCAATATAAGCACAATACAAAATAAAAGTAAATTTATAGAATATTTTACATACACCCCAAGTTAAAAAGAAATAGTTATTGAAAGTAAAACAAAAAATGTTTCTGCTTTTGCAGTATGTGTCATCTGGAAACAACAGTTCTGGAAACAACCGTTCTAATCAACAAAGTGGAATTTTTCGTGGACCGCCGCCTACGTCAAATACACCGCGCGGTGCCGGCGCAGGCGGAGCCCGCCACGTACACATGCCAACGATGTATCCAAGCATGATGTTGCAACAGTACCCACAATTTCCACAGCGACAACCAACTTATCAAACGCCTCATATACAATATGCGCCCGCTCCCATTTCCTACTATCCCTATCAATATCTTCCTCAACTTCAGCAACAGCCGCCCCATACGCGCAGCGGTGTGAGCGTTAATACTAGCGTTAACATTGGCAACACGATGCCCGGCCCCAACGGACCGCTGGCTGGTCCAGGGGCTTCTCCCACCCAATTGCAGCTGCTAACCGGCGCCGTACAGCCGGGCGGTAACACAGTTATCGGTGTCAGTGGCACCGGGAGCGGGCAAGTTGGTGTGGGTGTGCCGCCAATGGTCAGCGTTATGCCAGCGAACGTGGCACCACAGCCGGTTCAGGTGCCGACAACGAGTAGACGTCGACATCAGCACCGTTTACAGATCATCGATCCGGCAACACAAAAGAATATACTGGATGATCTGGATAAGGTATGTCTCGATTAAGGTTTCATCTCAATTCAGTTTAATAACGTAAATTCTATTACATAGAGTAATGCGAGTACGGACATCGATAGCCAGGAGCCAGGGCCAGGGCCAGCTGCGACAGCAGCAACGACAGCAGCCATCGTTCAGCCAGATGTTCCGATGTGCTTTTCCCAGCCAGACGCTGGTGGTATGTGTCTATCCAGTAGTGTGTCAGTCCCTGACCCAAGGGCCCACTACAAATTAGGTATTTACACTAATCATCAATAATTTTCTCAAATCGATTTTTGTCCACACTTTGCTTCAGAACAAATTATCGCTCAGCGCCAGGATATTATCATGGGACAGACCCCGGTGGTATCAGCGATGTCCGATGCTCCATCTGTAGAAATATTACCAACTTCCCAGAAGTACAAGAATAAAAAGTAAGTCACCTAAAAAAATATAAATCGCGTTTATTATTAAAGAAAATGTTGTTTTTCAGAATTTCTATAGTGTCTCCGAAAGATGGGTCTGAGTCGTCGTCTACGGCTTATTCATCTCGTAAGTCGTTTTATGCTTCTCATTTCGATTACTGATTACTGATTATTAATTATTATTATGATTATTAAGCTGGGTATATTCAAAGTTCGGGCATCTAGTCAAATAAATGGAAGCCTAGCCTTTCAATCATAATTGTTAAGCTTTATACCTTTAACTTTTATACTTTATTACCTTTGTGCTCACATGTTAAATATATAACTTTTTCGACCGGTACTATCTTGAACTCTCCGCCCAATGTTATGTTTTGCACAAAAAAATGTTTGCAAAAAGTGTGAAACACGTCGCAATTTACGTCTCATTACCATCTTTGGAAATGAATTTGAGCCCGAAATCATTGACCCCCCTTTCCACCAACGAGGGATGCATTTTCCAAAAGGTGTGAATTTGAACAAAGACCTTTGAAAATCAGTTTAAGACCGATTCGTTGTTAAACATAAAAGTTGCATATGACCGTTCCTCGCAATTTTTTCCCAGACCCCAGCTCTCTTTCACATAAGGTTACAACCTTTCCAATCCAATCCAACCACCAATCAGTCAGTGAGTCAGTCAAAACAAATAGTCTTATATTTAAAGATTGGCCAGTTGAGTCAAAATAACCTTAATTACTTTGGCCTTGATTCTATTTCTGCTGGCCACAGTTATTAACTAAGTCAGTATATCGTAAATGCACCATAAGAACTTTTCTTTTCAATTTGTGTTCTTGTATATTTATATTACCCTTATTATAATTTTGTCGTGAAATGCGTGATGCATAGAAGGAGACATCTCCAACCCCATAAAGTATATATATTATATAAGTCTCTCTTTCTGTTGTACGCAGTTCACATATCGGAACCAACTTGAATCGGACCATTATATCATAAAGCTGCCTTCAAAACGATCGGTCGAAAAGTAGAAAACTTTTGTTATCAAGCTACCTTGACCAAACTGGGCATTTATTAGTTTTACTATGCTCTTCATATATGTATATATGGAAAATCTTATATGAAATAGCTGTCATAATAAAGATTGGTCTAAAATGTATGAAATGGTTGGGTATGCGCAGGTATTATATCTCCGGCGTGCCGAAGATAGCCCTTTCTTCTTTTTTATACCCTTGCAGAGGGTATTATAATTTTGTCGTGAAATGTGTAACGCATAGAAGGAGACATCTCCGACCCCATAAAGTATATATATTCTTAATCAGCACCAACAGCCGAGTCGATATAGCCATATCCGTCTGTCCGTCTGTCTTTTTCTATGCGAACTAATCCCTCAGTTTTAAAGCTATCTTAATGAAACTTTGCAGAACGCCCTCTTTCTGTTGCACGCAGCACATATGTGAAAACCACTATATCATATAGCTGCCATAGGAACGATCGGTCGAAAATTAAGTTTTTGTATGAAAAAACATTTTGTTTGTCAAGATGTCTTGACCAAACTCGGCATTTATTAGTTTCACTTTAATCTTCATATATATGCAAAATCCTATTAAGATCGGACCACTATATCATATAGCTGCCATAGGAACGATCGGTCGAAAATTAAGTTTTTGTATGAAAAACATTTTGTTTTTCAAGATATCTTGACCAAACTCGGCACTTATTAGTTTTACTTTACTCCTCATATATATGCAAAATCCTATTAAGATCGGACCACTATATCATATAGCTGCCATAGGAACGATCGGTCGAAAATTAAGTTTTTGTATGAAAAAACATTTTGTTTTTCAAGATATCTTAACCAAACTCGGCATTTATTAGTTTTACTTTACTCCTCATATATGTGCAAAATCGTATTAATATCGGACCACTATATCATATAGCTGCCATAGGAACGATCGGTCGAAAATTAAGTCGTATGAAAAAACATTTTAATTATCAAGATATCTTGACCAAACTCGGCATATACTATTTTCCCGGTACTTCTTAGATAGGGGCAACGCACTATGGGCATTATGAAAAGGTTGGGTCTGCAAGGGTATTAGATCTTGGGCGTGCCGAAGATATTCACACCGAATCTGAATGCTCCTTCCTTACCTTCACTATGGGAAATTCCGTCTAAAATAATTTTGTCCGATCATTTTATAATTTGTAGGACTTCAAATAGCATCCTGAAGTGTGTGTCGACTAATTGATAATAAACGCATATGCTTTTGCGCTAATGTAATTAAATATTAACTAAAGCACATATAAATGTATTTTATTCCCTGTCCCTATTACATTATAAATATATAGTCTACAACACTTGGATTATAAATTCTAGTTTACCATTGAAAGATCAAGTTCTTATATTTCTTGTTTTTCCGTAACTGTATACTATTTATTATTCTTTCCTATAGTCTTGTAAATATAAGTAAGTGCAGGAATGTATTCTGGAGAGCTTAACACAGGGTATCTTTGTAAATCGAATTTATATATACATATATATATGCATGTATGTTAAGCAAGATCTTTGCAGCATCGGACCAATGTATCACTATGATGTCATAGGAGTGATCCATCAAAATTGAAGTTTTTGTTTTTGACGATAACTGAAACTAGCTTAACATTTTTTTATATCTGTATCTTATAGCTATATTGGAATAGTCGGTCGATAAATAATTTTTTGTACGAACAATTTTCGCTTCTTCACAATATTCAAGCTTTCCAATATATCTCCCATAGGTGCACAATACTAAGCCTGCTATATATAAGGGTATTTAATCTTCGGCGTGTTAGAGAATGTATTAAAAAGCAATAGCTGAGTTCGTCTGTCTGTAGGGTTTATATATTTGAGTTATATGCGTCACCATGAAATCGATAACAGTCGAATTTTAGATTAAAAGAGGTAGCAATAGCAAATTTTGTATATAAGTTCTTATATAGTTACACAGGTTCGAGGCTAATGTACTCTTCATTGAATATGCAGACACTTGGATGCGCAGCCGATAACAAAGATTTAAAGGGTATTTAAAGTTCGCAAACATATGACGTTATCTCCGCAGTTTGTTAATTACGATATTCGCCAACCGTTCACTTATAACTGTTCTCGTAGGCGTGCACTCTTGAGTGGGCAATTTGAAATTCCTTAATAATATTAGTCAGAGAATTTATTTAAGGGGTCAAAAGTCCATTTTTATTGCAAATGCAAACGTTTAAAAAGTACTGTTGTTGTTTTGTGCATCGTTATTTCCTGTCACACAAACTGACGTGCTTATCTATAAATACATACATGTAAATGTATGTATGTATGTCTTATAGATGAATAGATGTGGATATTCCTTTAGTTAATTTGTCCACGTGCGTCGTCGTCTACTTTAGCAGCAAGAAATACATATATAGAATATTGACCGCACTCACTCTCGTCAGCTTTTATTTCGTTCTCTCTATTTGTTCCGCTCTCTTCTTGGCTCTTGGTTCGTTCCGTTTCCTTCGTTGCTTGTCTCTCAATCTCAAGAATGTGAGCCAATCACATTAAAGTATTCCAATTTGATCAGCACCCGCACATACAAATACGTTCTTTGCCCTGAATTGTGCGCGTGCGTCTGTATTGCGTGAACATGTATGCGTGTGTGTATGCGAGAGTCTCTGCATGTATGTATGTATTTTCACTTTTGCTTTTGCTACTCGTAACACGTTATAAGCTTGTTTGCCGCTTTTTGCTTGCTGCTGGCGCTGGCGCCAGCTGCTGCTTGCTCGTATTTCTGTTTGCCTCGCTCGCCTGTGCAGCGATTTCATTTGCGGTGGCTGCTTGCTGCTTGAACCGCGGCCGGTCTCAACTAGCCGATCGATGCAATCATTTTGGGTGTGTTAGTGCGATTCGATATCATCTGTGTGTCTATCTATAGCGCTACTCAACAACGCGACATTGGTGGGACACGCACACAACTCTCAAAAGGAAAAGAATTAACAAATGAATAAATTAAAACATATGAACATAGGTATTTACGTATTCGAAAAACGTGTGCACAGTTCTCAAAGAATACACCACATTGGTTGCATATATATATTATCCAGTATCAATATTATAATAGATATCTTGACTTAATAAAAATAATACCAAAATTCAGATGTTAATTATCTTAATGCTTGACATCTTAACTCCACCTCGTCTGTGATAATTACAGTGTAATGGATAGAAAATATAGCACAACAAACAACTGGTATGTCTGATCTGATATGTTGGTATATTTATACATATACCTTTACGGGTGATATCATCTAATTTGACATTATCTCTACGTTATACAAGTAAAAATCCTTAATATATTTAAAATTTGTAGCTAATAGGTAAACCTAATTGTGATTTGTTAGGATAATGCGACTGATAATTCTGTAGAATTTATAGTTGGCTTTTCTTTTTGAATTTCCAAAATCCCACACATTTCTTATACTCTTGCGGGTATTATAGTTTTGTGTAACGCATAGCATCTCAGACCCCATAAAGTATATATATTCTTGGTCAGTATCAACAGCCGATTCGATGTAGCCATGTCCGTCTGTCTATTTCTATGCGAAATAGTCTCTCAGTTTTAAGGGTATCGTCAATGAAACTTTGCAGAAGTCCTTCTTTCTGTTGTACGCAGACCAGTATATCACATAGCTGCCATAGGAAAGACCGGTCGAAAAGTAGGTTCTATTATGAAAAACTTTTTGGGTTGTTCAATATATCTTGACTTAACTTGGGTTATAAGATATACAAAATGTTATTTATATCTGACAAATAAAGCAAATAGCTGTCATAGGAACAATCGGTCGACAAGTAGGTTCTGTTATAAAAACCTTTTATCAATTTTTGTTTTATTTTTTTCGTGCCTTTTAGATTCGAGCAGAGCACTATGAACATTATGAAAAGATTGGCTCTCCAAGGGTATTAAATCATCGGCGTGCCAAAGTGAAAACCTTTTAAATATTTACCATAAGCAAAACAGGTTTATTTGGATTACCGATTTTGTAACAGAGATTTTTTTTAGAGATATTTATCTGATTCAGTAATACAATTCATATAAAAATTATACGATTTTGGTGTTCTTAGCCAATCTTGTCAATTGGGAGCTTCTCTACATTTAAGCAAAATATCAAAGGCATGCATTCGTAAATAGTTTAGTTCAGAAAGCCTCCAAAGAAGAAACGGTTAAGAATATTATGTTCCGACCAAATTTGATCAATGTCGAATAACTATAGCGTTTGGGATAATCGGTTATCAAATATTTAAACTTACGTTCATTTCGTAGCATATATGCAATTTAAAATCGAAGAGTCTAAAGATGTTAAAATTTGAATGTATTGTATATATATTGGATTATTTATTTCAGCCTGTCTTGATACTCCAACAAAATTAGTCCCAAGGACTGCAGTCGGCGACATTCAAAAGAAGCTCCACGAAATGCATCAAGAAGTGCTTGAAAAAAGTAATCGATACTGGACGCAAAAGGGAAAAGAAACTACGGAGAAAATCGACACAGTCGTTAATGAGACGCTTTCGCAAAGCGCATTGCCTGCCGAGCAATATCAGGGGGAAAGTGTGACAGTGGACTCCTTAGAATCGATCAGCCAAGATTGTCAAAAGCCCAATTCGATGGTCGACCCCGGACACGAGCCCGTGGCTGACGCCGCGCCGAAGTCGTCAGAAATACCTTCGGAAATTCCCTCAGCTACTGCACATATTAAAGACAGCTTAGGACAAGCTGCATTCGGCAGCAGTGAAACAAGTTTTAATGTTCATATAAACACACCAAAATCGGAAGAAGTAGCTGCCGACCCTTCGACTACGGCCAGTGAACCAACGCCAATGCATGTGTCATCCGCTGATCCAAGCGCTTCTCCAAAAACATCTGCAACGGATCCTATTTTAAGCGAACAAGTTGATAAACAGGCCCCGAGCCCGAGCGTTAGTCAACCCTCAGTTCGCAAAGATGCACCTCTGACAACCAAGATTTCGCATCTTGACGTAACCGATCCAAACGATCCAACGGAGCCTATTTCAAGCGAAAAAGATGCTGAGCCCTCGACTCAGCCATCAAGTACAGATGAAATCCTAACCGATGAGACTGATCGCGCGAAAATGCTACTCGGGGAAGAGACTTGTGTATCGACAACTACAACAACGGCAACAGCAACAATTAAGGAAATCGCAAATGTTGAAATCGAAAGCGCAACCGAAAAATCGACGCCTAGCACCACAGTGGCGACCGTCCGCCAAGATGTGGTGCCAGACAAAGTGGGTGGTGAACAGGAACAAGTCGCGACGGCGTCGGAGTCGGGAATTTCCACGTTAATTAACTATAACGAAGGTCAATGGTCGCCGAATAATCCTGGAGGAAAAAAACAGTACGATCGCGAGCAACTTCTGCAGCTGCGCGAGGCAAAGGCCTCGCGTGTACAGCCCGAGGTGAAGAATGTATCGATTCTGCCACATCCGAACCTAATGCCATTGTTTATGCGAAACAACAACAACAACAATAACAATAAGCGTGTGCAATCGATGGTTGGAATGATTGGAGGCAATCGGAACAGCGACTCGGGCAGCAATTTTGCTGGCAAACAAGTCTCCATGTCCGGTGTACAAGGCAGAAGCAGCATGAAGGGCATGATCCATGTGAATCTATCGCTTAACCAAGATGTCAAGCTCAATGAAACCGAAAATGCCTGGCGACCGCGACTTGCAACCAAACAGGACGGTGAGAACAGCTCCGATATCAGGACAACTCAAGAAAAGGACGATCTTGTGCGGCGGGTGCGTGGAATTCTTAATAAGCTAACGCCCGAGAGGTTCGATACCCTAGTCGAGGAGATAATCAAGCTAAAGATTGATACACCAGACAAAATGGACGAAGTGATTGTTCTTGTTTTCGAAAAGGCCATAGATGAACCAAACTTCTCAGTTTCGTATGCCAGACTGTGTCATCGCCTCATTAGCGAGGTGAAAGCGCGAGACGAGCGAATGGAAAGTGGCACCAAATCAAATCTGCAACACTTTCGCAACGCTCTGCTCGACAAAACTGAAAAGGAGTTTACGCAGAATGTCTCCCAAGGTGCAGCCAAAGAGAAAAGGCTGCAGCCCTTCCTAGAGAAGATTAAAAAGTGTACGGATCCCAACGAAAAGGCTGAACTGGAAGCCCTTTTGGAAGAAGAGGAGCGGAAGATACGCCGCCGATCAGGCGGTACAGTGCGCTTCATTGGCGAGCTCTTCAAAATATCTATGTTAACTGGCAAAATCATTTACTCTTGTATCGATACACTGCTCAATCCTCATTCAGAAGACATGCTGGAATGCCTGTGCAAGCTCCTGACAACAGTGGGCGCAAAGTTTGAGCAGACGCCGGTCAATGCCAAGGATCCTGGTCGCTGTTATTCACTTGAGAAGTCAATTACCAGAATGCAGGCAATAGCTAGCAAAGGCGACAAGGATGGTGCCAAAGTTAGTTCGCGCGTACGCTTCATGCTCCAGGACGTTATTGATTTGCGTAAAAATAAATGGCAGACCTCGCGCAACGAGGCGCCCAAGACAATGGGACAAATTGAAAAGGAGGCTAAAAACGAGCAATTATCGGCACAATATATTAACTACAGCGGATCAATATCTTCGTCCATCCCCAATGGACCGCAGTCGGGTTCCGGTTCCGGTAAACGTGACGAACGCAGCAGCAGCTCTCGTTTCGGCGACTCGAGATCAGCCGGCGGCTATGGTGGCAGTCACAGTCAGCGCGGCGATGGCGGCGCCAACATGCGCCATCAACAGTCGAACAGCGGTGGTGGCGGTGGTAGTGGCAGCGGCAACAATAGCGGCGGCAATAACGCTCACTCCAATGGAAACAATGACGATAATACGTGGCACGTGCAGACTAGTAAAGGCAGCCGCTCTCAGGCTGTTGACAGCAACAAACTTGAGGGTTTGGTTAGTTGTTTTCACATAACGCAATTTCGAATCGAATTATATTTATATGCATATATATTCTTTTGGTAGACATTACAGCTCAATCAGAATTTGGATACCAAAAAGATGGGTGGAGTTAATCAATTTATTTGGAATAACAATGCCAATAGACAATCCTCAACGCCAACGACAACGCCTTCCAATTCATTTGCCGCGCTCTCATCGTTAACAGATAAAAACAGCACCGACAGAGACCGCGACAGAAGCGGGCCCAGAAACAAGGGCTCATACAACAAAGGCTCTATGGAGCGTGATCGTTATGGTGACCGAGGTGAGCAATATCATATTCTATACCCCCATTCAATGTAAGTTAATTAATATGAATTAAATTGAAATAGGCATGCACTCGCGAACTGGCTCGTCACAAGGCTCACGGGAAAACTCGTCGTCGCGCGTTGGCCAAAATCAGCAAGGCCGCGGCATGATGAACTCTTCAATGCAAAAATCTGCTAGTCACTCAAAGTATACTCAACAGGCGCCGCCGAGCCGGCATTCCAACAAGGTAAATACTCGCTTGTTTTGCTTGTATTTCTTTTCATTTCATGAATACGCATCGCTTTTAGGGTCTGGGTTCTGGTTCGTTAAGCAGCTCGGCCGGGATATACAGGGGGAGCGATCAGCAGCCTTTATCAAGTGCCTCAATCTCTGCTGTTTCTGCTTCTCAACCTACTAAAGGCGTTGCACCGCCAGCAATGTTTATTGAGCCAAGAGAAAACGATCTGAAGCTCTTCAAGTCCGTCGTGTCGGAAATGATCGAACTTGCGGCGGGTTCCAATTCGGCCAGTCCAACGGTTGTCAAGTGCATAAAACGGATATCAGAGCCCCAACTGTGCGGCTTTTTGTTTTATATATTAACTGATTATTTGCATTTATCGAATGTGGGTAAACAATACAGAAGATGCCTGGCAATCACAGTTGCCCAACTTATGCAACAGCATTTCATGTCTGTGGATCACTTTAAACTTGCATACAAGGAATTTAGCGAGTGTGCTAACGATTTAATTGTTGATATTCCTGAGTTGTGGTTATATATTATTCAATTTGCTGGTAAGTTCTCATATATTTGTCTATATCTCTATATATAAAACTGTTTGTCCTGACCGACTGACTTATTGGAGATCAACTCATAGCCCAAACCGAAATAGCTAGGGGACAGAAGATATTTTATTGAGACAGGGCTCTTGGAATTTCCGCCCGCAAGTGTGGTAAAATCTCAAAAATTGCATGTATGCAACTTTTTGCTTACAATCCGATCTGTCGCATTTTTGCTTTAAATTCATTTAAGGGGTGTTTCGCACTTTACGGAAAATGCATTTCCCTGCAAATGAGCGTCAAAAATGTGGTGTATAAAGTTTCTCATTAAAAAAGGTTTAATTATCGAAATTTTTCTTTGCGTTTACGATTTTTAACAGCAATACTAACCGGAAAGCTTTGATTTCAACTTTTGGTTCGTTATTCGACGGACTTTAAGCATATTTACGGCTTGATTTAAATTTTCCATGAGCAGCAATTGGGAATAAAATCTAATATCTACAATTTTGGACGCAGAACTAGATATATATTAGATATTTTAATTTTCCTGCTAGGTAATAAAAAATGGAAAACTTTAAAATCGATTACATTACATATCATCGCTAAATTATATGTTCTTGATGTTAGTCAATATCGAAATCCTGAATTTCTCATAGTGTGGGCTTAGGGGATCTCCTAGTTGGAAACTCTTAACTATGTACCTTCCGATAAAATTGTTAATACTATATTTTTCTGTTTTGCGTAGGCCCACTGAT